GGAGGAGGGGCGGGGCAGGGCTGAGGGGCGTGGCAGGGCGGAGGGGCGTGGCAGGGCAGAGGGGTGGGGCATGGAGGAGGGACATGGCAGGGCTGAGGGGCGTGGCAAGGAGGAGGGGCGGGGCAGGGCTGAGGGGCGTGGCAAGGAGGAGGGGCGGGGCAGGGCTGAGGGGCGGGGCTTGCTCACCCGACCACGGCGCCATTTCACACAGCAGGAAATGAACAAGGCCAGGCAGACCACAAGGCCTAGGGCGCCCCCGGCCACCACGGCCAGGAACGTGGGCTGGCCTGGGCTCCACAGTGTAGACTGGACTGAGGGAGGAGACAGAGCGATCAGTGCACATCCGGGCCTGGGCGAGGCCGGGTCGGAGCGCGCGCCTGTCATCTGAGATCCGAGGACCCAGGTTCGAGGCCCGCCCCGGGCAGGGAAGTCCGAGAGACTCTCCCCTCCGATGAGCCTCCAAAAACAAGGGGTAGAGCGCCAGCCTTGAGCAAAACAAGCTCTGGCTCAAAGCTAGCGTCTGCCACTTGAGCCACAACTCCACTTCGGTGTGTGTGTGTGCATGCGTGTGCGTGCGTGTGCGTGCGTGTGCGTGCGTGTGCGTGCGTGTGTGACTGAAGAGTCCCATGGACTTTCCCGCCAGAGCTGGCCTTGAACCCTGATCCTCCCATCTCAGCCTCCTGAGTGCCGGGATGACAGGCGGGAGCCACGGGTGCAGCTCTGTGTCTGAATTTGGGGGCGATCCACAGGTGTTTGGCTGTGGATCTCAGGGAGGAAGATCTCGGAGGATTAGAAGCGGGGACCCGCAGCCCGACACCCCCCCCCCAGGCCACCACTCATGAACACTTGCATCTGCCAGGAATTGGGAGATCCGGACTTTTCTGGGCCTCTTTCCAGAATGGTCCCACAGGTAAGGCCGAGGCCGGGAAGGGGAGTTCTTACCCTCAAGCTGGGCCAGCAGCAGGGCCTTGGCCGCGTCCCTCAGGAGACACTGCCACAGTCCTGCTTCTGGGTCCTCCACGCGCACCTCCTTCTCCTGCTTTGACACCCTGGCCGTCTGGTTACCCGGATGCAGGCTCAGGTGGAGCTTTGGGGACACGGGTCCCAGAACCCTGCAGACAAGATGGCGCCCCTGCAGGGCCACTGGAAAAAAAAGGTGACACTGAGTCCTGGGGCCTGGATCTTGGGGCTCCCAGTGTCTTGACGTTCACTAGATTCATTACAACATTATTATTATTGTTGTTGTTGTTACTATTGTTGTTGTTACTTTGGCAGTACTGGATTTAAACATCAAACCCTCAGGCTCACTCAGCTGCTTGGCTCAGCTGGCGCTCTACCACTTGGACCACGCCTCCAGCACGGCTTTTTGCAGGTCATTTTGGAAAGTCTCAGAGACGGTGAATCCTGATAAAGCCATACTGGGCAGGAAAGTATGTGAAACTCTTATCTCCAGTTAATTGCGGACGCCTGTCTCTCTCTCTCTCTCTCTCACACACACACACACACATACACACACGAAGAAGCTGCGGGTAGTGGTGCTGCGGGAAGTTGTAGAATGCTAGCTGGGAGCAAAATAAAAGGTCAGTGACAGCACCCAGGCCTTGAGTTCAAGCCCCAGGACTGGCACCAAAACAAACCAAAAAACAAAGCAAATAAACCAGCCCCAAACCAGAGAGGTTTTCTTCTTCTTCTCCTTTTTTCTATCTTCTCTTCCTTTGCTCCTTTCTTCCCTTCCCTTCCTCCCTCTCCTACCCCCCCCTTCTTTCATTCTTTCTTTCTTTGCAGGTTCTGGGGCTTGAACTCAGGGCCTGGGCACTGTCCTTAAACTTTTGCGCTCAAGGCTGGCGCTCTACCACTTGAGCCACAGCGCCACTTCCAGTTTTCTGGTTGTTCAGTGGAGATGAGAGTCTCACGGACTTTCCTGCCTGGGCTGGCTTTGAACCGCGATCCTCAGATCTCAGCCTCCTGAGTAGCTAGAGGATTACTTTTTATTTTTTTAATATAGAACTTGAAGTCAGGGCCTCATGCTTTTGCCTAGAGCTTTGTTGTGTTTAGTTTTTGTTCTTCTGTTTTGCTTCGCTCAAGACGGGTGCTCTCCCACTTGATCCACAGTTCCCACTCCCCACCTTTTTGGTGGTCAATTGGAGATAAGCATGACATAGATTTGTCTGCGCACCCTGGCTCTGAACTCTGATTTTTCACATCGCAGCCTCCTGAGTAGCCGGGATTACAGGCATGAGCTACCACGCCCGGCTAGCAACGTTAGACACTTGAACACGTGTAGTAATTTTAAGGTACAGGGGCATTGGTCGCAAACCCCAGGGGGTTCTTCACCCAGGCAGTGGCCCCCTCCACTCCCTGCCCTCCCCAGCAGCCCGCCCCTTACTTGTCATCACCACCAGATTCAAGGGCTGACTCAGCGTTCTTCTAGCAAGCTTGACAGTCAGGTTGCCAGAGCCGGCGTACTTCGGCTGGGCTTTGGCTAGTTTGACCCGGATAGGGAGGCTCTCTGGCACCTGCAGCTTGGGGTCCTGGGGGACTGTGATGTTCAGCAGCTTCCCGCTTCTCAAGGAGAAGGTGAGCCAGGGCTGCGACCCAGATGTCCCCTCGGCCCGCCACCTCAGCTCGCCGTTCAGGCTCTCGTCATTCATGTTAAACGGGAAAGAGAGCTGCACCGGCTCCCCCTCGGCCTTGTACACCGTGTCCACCATCTGGAGAAAACCTGGGCGGGTGGGAAGAAAGGGAGGATCGTGGTTCACACCCTGAATGAGGCCTGGACTGGAAGAGGAGGGGCCACTGAGGTCGGGACCGGAAGAGGAGGGGATTCCAGTACAGCAAATAGAAGCAGGGAGGCCGGATGCTGTCGCTCCCGCCTGCCATCCCGGCTACTCAGGAGGCTGAGATTGGAGGATCACAGTTTGAGGCTGGCCCAGGGCAAGAAAGCCCATGAGACTCTGAGGGCCCATAAACCACCAGAAAACTGGAAGTGGCGCTGTGGCTCAAGGGGTAGAGCGCTAGCCTTGAGCTGAAGAGCTGAGGGACAGCGCCCAGGCCCTGAGTTCAAGTCCTGCCTGAATACAAGGGCCAAGTGGGACCCCCCCAGGGCAGACCTGAGCTCCAGGGATCAGCACGCAGCCCAAATCCCTCCACATCAGAGGCCAGAGGAGCGGGGTTGGGGGGTACCAGGCCAGGGGAGGGGCCGGGGGGCGCCCTGCCCCTCTTACCCAGTACCCGGATGTCCAGGTCAAACTGCAACTCCTTGTTCTTCTGGGAGACGGTGCAGGTCCACCGGCCGCTCTGCGAGACGTCCAGCGTGGGCAGCGTGAGCACCTTGTCCAAGCGCATCACTTGGTTCCGGGGACTCCTGCACTGGCCGGAGGGGTTCGTGTTTGGGGGTGTCTCCAGAGTCAAGGTGACGGTCTCGCCATGCATCACGGGAGACTCCGGGCTGGGAGTCACTGTGGAAGAGACACTTCGCTGGAGCCGGGCGCCGGTGGCTACGCCTGTCATCCCAGCCACCCAGAAAGCTTCGATCTGAGGATGGCAGGTTCGAAGCCAGCCCGGCCAGGGAAAAACTCTGAGCCTCTGCTCTCCAAAGAACCCCCAGAAAACCGGAAGTGGCGCTGTGGCTCAAGGGGTAGAGCACCAACCTTGAGCCAAGAGAGCTCATGGGCAGCGCCCAGGCCACGAGTTCAAACCTTACAACTGACAAAAGCCAAAAGATAGGTAAGAACTGGAAGTCCTGAGTTCAAATCCCCCCCCCTACACACACATACACATTTGACTAGGGAGAGGGACAAAATCTGATTGGCTCAGGGCGTAGTTGAGGGCGGGGCCGGGGCGGGGCTGCCCCCGGGGACAGATGCGCACTCAACTCACATCTGTACACTTGCAGCTCAACCTCGGTGGCCACCCTTTCCACCTCACAGATGTAGCTGTCCGAATCCCTCATCTCCAGTTCGCTGATGATGAGCGGGAAAGATCCTTGGTCCCACAGGTTTTTCTTTGAGTCAAAGCGACGGTGCCAATCCCGGTGACCTGAGGGGACAAATCAGATCCGACAGGCTCACGTGCCTGGCTCAGCCGGCTGCCTTTGTTAAGAGCCGTACCGACAGCCCAGCCGGGCATCGGTGCTCCCGCCTGTAATCCCAGCTACTCAGGGAGGCTGAAATGAGAGGGTCACAGTTCAAAGCCAGCCCGGGCTGGAAAGTCCGTGAGACTCTGATCTCCCATGAACCACCAGGAAACCGGAAGTGGTGCTGTGGCTCAAGGGGTAGAGCGCCCGCTTTGAGCTGAAGAGCTGAGGGACAGCGCCCAGGCCCTGAGTTCAAGCCCCAGGACTGACCAAAATCAGCTTCTCTGCCTGGGGCGGGCGGGGAGCACTTACCTCGACTCACTAGGCCAAACCTAGCTGCTGTTAGAATCTTGGACTGGTTTTTGTGCTTCCAGATGAATTGCATATTCTTCCTCAGAGAAGACTGGCAGGGCAGTTCCACCGACTGCCCCGCTTTCCCCAACACCAGTTCTTTCCCTTCGCCTACCGCCAGGAACACTGCTGCATGCGGAAGAGGGGAAAAAGATCCTGGTCAGGCCAAATCCCACGCATTATTATTATTATTAGTGCTAGTCCTGGAGTTTGAACTCAGGACCTGGGTGCTGTCCCTTGAGTTTTTTCCCTCAAGGCTTGGTGCTCTACCATTTGAGCCACACCTCCACTTCTAGCTCTTTCTTTTGGCTGGTTCATCCCAGATAAGAGTCTCCTGGAGTTTTCTTCCCCGTGCTGGCCTCCAACTGTGATCCTCAGGCCTCAGCCTCCTGAGTAGCCAGGATGTCAGGCGTGAGCCACTGGTGCCTGACCTGCCCCCCACGCCCTACCTTTGTACTTTCCCATCAGTCCCCAGCCGCTACCCAGAACCCAAGTGTGGGCACTCACCGAACAGAAGCGCCAAGAACAAGGCTGCAAGCGCGAGTCTTTGTTTCATGGTGGCCCTGTTGAGGTAAGCAGGGGTCAGACTCATCAGGATCTGAACTTGCAAAGGAAAGTGGCGCTGTGGCTCAAGTGGTAGAGCGCTAGCCTTGAGCTGAAGAGCTGAGGGACAGCGCCCAGGCCGTGAGTTCAAGCCCCACGGCCGACAAAAAAAGCCAGAAGCAGAGTGATGTTTCAAGTGGTAGAGCATTAGCCTTGAGTAAAAGAAAAGCTCAAGGACAGTGCCCTGGTCCTGAGTTCAAGGCCCAGGATCAACAAATAGAAAGGGGTGGGAGAAAGGGGAGGGGGTGAAGGAGGAGGAGGAGGAGGAGGAAGAGGAGGAGGAGGAGGAGAAGGAGGAAGAAAGTCATCAGGTGCTACTCAGGAGGCTGAGATCTGAGGATGGAAGTTTGGAGCACAGGTAAGAATGTCCATGGGACTCTTATGTCCAATGAATTAGCAAAAAGCCAGAAGAGGAGCCGTGACTCAAGTGGTAGAACACCAACCTTAAGTGAAAATAAACTCAGAGTCAGTTCAACACACACACACACACACACACACACACACACACGGTAAACATGGATGTTTTCAGTCACGGGGCTTGAACTCACGCACTAGCTTGAGCTTTCTCCCCTGCTGGTTGGTGCGTGGAGCTGTCAATCCACCAGCCCTTAGCCCCGCCCTCCAGCTTCCTGTCCCCATGGTCCTGGGCCGCCTCCATCTCTCCCCCTCTGAATTATGATCGAGGTTTCCATCTCTCCCCCACCACGGGGGCAGGAAGGACACGGCCTGGGCACGGGCGCCGGACGCCAGGACAAGGCCTCCTCATGGAAGCTTCTGGAGAAAGCCCTGCACTTCTGTACTCAGCACATTAATTCTGTTTCTAAAACTGGATCCTCCCGGGCGAGGCCCAAGCCCGGTCCGACCCCACACGAGAGTGCAAACGCATGAATAAATCAGCCGCTGGAGTGCACAGCCGGGCAGGTAAGTAGACAGGAAGATAAATGGCTGATAGCTAGACGTAGATAGCCACAGGAGAGATGAGAAATTGATAAATAGAGCAGAGATGGATAAAACGATGGATGATATAGATAGATGATCGATAGATAGATAGATCGATAGATAGATGCTAGGTAGGTAAGTAGATCAATCAATGATAGATGATCGCTAGATAGACAAGACCAACAGATAAATGATAGGTGATAGATAGATGTTGGGTAGGTAGACAGATAGATAGGGAGATGATAGATAAGTAGATAGATGGATCAATAATAGATAACCTGGTTTTTCTAGCAGATACATAGACAAGACAGATAATTCTGGGTGGTAGGTAGATAGATGATAGGTAGATAAGTGGATAGATTGAGCAATCAATGAGAGATGATAGACATAAATGATAAATGATAGGTAGATAGAGAACAGATAAATGATAAGTGATAGGTAGATAGATTGCTGATAGACAAATAGATAGATGATAGGCAGACAGACAGATCAATGATAGGTTGATGATAGGTAGACAGACAGACCGGTAAGTAGATAGATGATAGGTAGATAGCCAAGACAGACAGACAGACAGACAGGTAGATGAAGGGATGTGTGGCTATCTTAACTCAGTCCTGGTCTGTCTGGAGAGAGCGAGGTCATCCTGGAGCATTTACCTAACTCTATGCACTTTCCACTGACTGTAGCCAGTGTGTGTGTGTGTGTGTGTGTGTGTGTGTGTGTGTGTGAGTGTGTGCATGCACTCTTGCAAAGTGTGCCAGCCCTGGGGCTTGGACTCAGCGCCTTAGCTCTCGCTCTAGGCTGGCTCTCTACCACTGCTCTACTTCTGCTTTTCACAGGTTCATTGGAGGTGAGTGAAGGACCCCCCTTTATCTCCCGGGTCAAGCAAAACACCACGTCTGCGTGGATGAGCACGGGCAGGTCCGTCCCACGCGGGCCTGGCCGCACACTCCCGCACCCTGGGCACAACAGTCCTTTCTGGGCCCCCAAGAGACCACAGCCCCGTGTTTATACCAGCCCGACTCCAGCCCCACCTTTCCACACAACCCCCATTCCCACAGGAAGGCGGCTGCCCCTCGCCGTTCCCCAACAAACGCTCCTCCCCTGTTCTTTCTCCTCCATTTTGCTAACGATAAGACTCTCAAGGACTTCCTTGTCAGAGCTGGCCTCCAATCATGATCCTCATATCCTAGCCTCCTGAGCAGCTGGGAGGACAGGAATGAGCCGCCTGGGGAGGGCTGCATAGACGGCCCGCTGGATGAATGAACGGGGAGTGGATGGGTGACCGGTGGATGGCTGCATAGACGGCCCGCTGGATGAATGAACGGGGAGTGGATGGGTGACCGGTGGATGGAGGCGTGCATGCGTGGATGGGTGGTTGATGGATGCATGGATGGATGGATGAATTTATAGTTGATGATGGATGAGTGGTTAATGGACAGATGACAGATGATGAGTACACAGTGGATGGTGGGTGGATGATGAATAATTGAAAGTGGATGGATGATGGATGGAGGGATGGATGGATGGATGGATGGGTGGGTGGATGATGGGTGGATGGATGGGTGGATGGATGGATGGGTGAGTGGATGGATGGATGGATGGATGGATGGGTGGATGGATGGATGGGTGGGTGGATGGATGGATGGATGGGTGGATGGATGGATGGGTGGATGGATGGGTGGGTGGGTGGATGGATGATGGATGGATGGGTGGGTGGATGGATGGATGGATGGATGGGTGGGTGGTTGATTGATGGATGGATGGATGATGGCTGATGGATGGATGGATGAACAGATCGACACAGATGGACAGATGTAGACAGATAAATGTAGCGTTTTGTTCCCGCCAGGAAACCAGTAAGCAAAGAGCTCAGGAAGGAGATTGCTGGGAAGAAGGGAGGGAGGAGAAGAAAAACCTTTACAAGCCATGACGGTTGGTCATGCTGAGCGCCGGTGCTCACACCTGCAATCCCAGCGACTCAGGAGGCTGAGACCTGAGGATCGTGGTTCGAGGCCAGCCTGGGCAGGAAAGTCCGTGAGCCTCTGATCTCCAGTAAACCCCCAGAAAACCAGAAGTGGGGTTGTGTGGCCCAAGGGGTAGAGCGCCAGCTTTGAGCTGAAGAGCTCAGGGACAGCGCCCAGGCCCTGAGTTCAAATCCCACGACTGACCAAAAACAAAAAAGACAGTTGGTCCTGAGAGAAATGGAGGCAGGGTGGGGAGAGAGAGGGGAGGGGAGAAGGGGGGTGCTCAGGCCTCAAGCCCCCCTGCAGGGCTGGCTGCAGCCTTGGGGCGCCGAGTGGGGACAGAGTCTTCCCCGTGCTTCTCCACCTTTGTGGGGTGGGTACAGCGCACCCCTTCCTCCCTCCCTCCAGCCGTAACCCCAGCTCAGCACACACCCCGGGCTCTGTGGAGTTGCTGTGGTTTCGCAGCCGCAGCGCCTTTGCTGCCTCGGTTTCCGCTGCCGTCTTTGAGATCAAGGCTTTTCATTCCTCCACCGTCAGCCTCCCGAGAGGCAGCAAACGAGGCCCCAGTGGCCTCTGTTTACCCTCCCGCCCCTGGGAGAGGCTGGGGGGGAAGCTGGCCCCCCCAAAAAAATCCTCAAGTCTCCCCCACGCCACCCTTGCTAATTTCTCTGTTGCCATCTGGGTCTTTCTGGAACTCTCTGGCGTGGCTGTGTTCCAGCCGCCTGTGCAAAAGTTATGGCGGCTGACACCAGATTCTCCCTCCTCTCCCTCTCTAGCAGCTGCAAAGATGTAGATCCTTCTGCCTGTAAACAGATTGTCGGGGCTGGCAAAGCCAGGTCTCAGCAGGCTTTGATCAGGGCCCAGGGCTGAGAGACCCAAGCAGGAAATGTCTGCAGGGTGAGCAGGGACAGGACAGGGGTGGACAGATTCACACACACACACTCACACACACACACACACGTCTCAGGAGAGAATGGGGGCAGACAGGGAAGGAGTAAGAGAGGCTGATTAATGTAACAGCCACCAGGACAGTAGCTCACCCCTGTAATCCCAGCTTCCCAACGAAGCTGAGATGTGAGGATCATTCTACAAAGCCAACTCAGGCAGGAAAGACCAGAGGACATTTTTTTTTCTTTTGCCAGTCCTGGGGCTTGAACTCAGGGCCTGGGCGCTGTCCCTGAGATTCTTTGGCTCAAGGCTGGCGCTCTACCACTTGAGCCACAGTGTCACTTCTGGCTTTTTCTGTGTCTGTGGTACTGAGGAATCGAACCCAGGGCTTCGTGCATGCTAGGCGAGCACTCTACCACTGAGCCACCTGCCCAGCCTAGGCGTAGGACTCTTCTTTTAAAATATAATTATCAAAATGCTAAAAGTGGAGCTGTGGCTTATGCTCTAGAGCACCAGTCTTGAGTTCAAGTCCAGCACCAGCAGAAAAATATAAATAACAATAAAAGAACAAAACACCTTTTCTGCCGGGCGCTGGTGAATCCCGCCTGTCATCCCAGCTTCTCGGGAGGCTGGGATCTGAGGATCACAGTTCGAAGCCAGCCTGGGCAGGAAAGTCTGAGAGACGCATCACCAGTGAACCAGCCCAAAAAAAGCCAGAAGTGGGGCTGTGGCTCAAGTGGTAGAGCCAAAGAGCTCAGGGACAGCACCCAGGCCCCGAGTTCAAGCCCCATGACCAGCACATACACACAAAATTCTAGAAAATTCTAGAATACATAGAAAATTCTAGAAGGCGAGAAACCTAGAGACAAAGAGCAGAGCAACCACACACACACACACACACACACCCCTCTCCCAGGCCCCCCCAGGAGGTCCCTGCCCCTCCCCCTAGCTCTTGAGCAAAAGCAAGGCAGGCAGAGACCCACCGCAGTGCCAAGCTGTGGTCCCCCAAACACTGTGATCTTCCCCCGCCGGGCCCCTAAATCAACCTGCTCAAGGCCAGACGCGGTCTGTGCCGCAGCCCCACATACCCCCAGCTACTCACCCGCTTCCTAGAGGACCCTTCAGATCCGTGACTACAAGCAGCACCAGCGTCGCTCCTCGCCCTACATGACCAGAAGAGGGGGGGTCTCTCCACCCCACTTCCTCATCCCCCCCAAAGAAAAGAGGGCACCCACAGAACACAACCTTTAGGCCTTGAAAACCAGCAGACAAACCCCCAGCTATAAGCGTCCCTGGGTTTTTGTTTCTTTTTTTTTCCTCAAGGCTGGCGCTCTACCTCTTGAGCCACAGCGCCACTTCCAGCTTTTTGCTGGTTCAGTGGAGAAAAGAGTCTCACGGCCTTTCCTGCCCGGGCTGGCCTTGAACTGCGATCCTCCGATCTCAGCCTCCTGAGGAGCTGGGATGGCAGGCGTGCGCACCAGCGCCCGGCTGGGTCAACGCACATTTATTTACGGAGTGATTTAAAATGTCACAGACCCCCCTGGGCAATTTTGGGTGACTGAGGACCAGCGCGGGGCCCCCGGGGCTCCTCAGAGGGGGTGGGGAGCACTGGAGTTTGGGGGAGAGCTCTCCTGTAGGTGTCCCCAGGCTGCGCCTCGCACGCCACCTCCCCGGGGCCCCTGAGAGCCTGCCCGTTTCCCTCATGGAAACGGCGGCCATCTTGTGTTGGCCACAGCTCCAGACGTGATCAAAGCCAGAAAGAGACTCCCCGCCCGTGCCCCAGCTTACCAAATGTCCTGAGGCATAGAACATTCTAGAAAAAAAGAGACTCCCTGCCCGTGCCCCAGCTTACAAAATGTCCTGAGGCATAGAACATTCTAGAAAAAAAGAGACTCCCTGCCCATGCCCCAGCTTATAAAATGTCCTGAGGCATAGAACATTCTAGAAAAGATCCCTCTCCCCCTCCCACTCCCAATCAATCACCAGAATAAGTCTAATCACTGAACAGGGCTTCCAGGGCAGGATATCTCAGAAAAGGGGGGACGGCTGGGGTTGTGGGGGGCAGGAACTAGAGGCCCCCCCAGCTCGGGGAAATCTCGCCCAATCCCACCACGATCTGAGAATGCGCAGGGCGGGCGCTGGCGGCTCCCGTCTGTCACCCCAGCTCCTCAGGAGGCTGAGATCTGAGGATCACGGTTCAAAGCCAGCCCGGGCAGGAAAGTCCGGGAGACTGTTAATTGCTAATTCCTCTCCTAATAAATCAGCAAAAAGCTGGACGTGGAGCCGTGGCTCAAGTGGTAGAGCACTAGCCTTGAGCACCAAAGATCGGGGTCAGGGCCCAGGCGCTGAGTTCAAACCCCAGGCCCAGCGTATAGACAAGGAGAAAAAGAGAGACAGACAGACAGATAGGGAGACAGACAGAGAGATCTGAGGATTATTTTGTGATCTTCCCATAGACTCTTGGAACACTTAAAAATCAGTTCTCTTGGAGTCACTATTTCTGATCACACACACACACGCACACACACACACACATGCACACACGCACACTGCTTCATATTTCCCCGTGGCTTCAGTGTTGCAATGTTAGCCCCCGCCGTAGGTCTCTGGTTGATCTCTGCTTTGGACATTCGCCTCAAGGCAAAGCTCACTGAAGCCACAGCGTGTTGGGATGAACGAACGCCTCCCCAAGCCTCCATTGTAGGCCAAGCCCTGTGGGGAAGGGCATGCCTGAAGTCCCAGCCACTGGGAGGGAAACTGAGGCAGGAAGGGCTCCGGGGTGGACAGTGGAACCAGACTCTGTCCCTCCAACAACACAAAACACAAACCAAAGCCTCCTGAGGGCTCACCAAAACAGGGGTCTTACCTCCCCTCCACTGGCTTTCTGGAACCTTCCTTCACCCATCTCGCCATTTCAGTGGAGAGGGTGGAATGGGCCTTGATCTCAAGCTCATTCACGGTGGCAATGGACGATCACCACTCAGGACAAAAAAAGAAGGGAAAAAAGCCGGGTGCTGGTGCTCACGCCTGTAATCCCAGCCACTCAAGAGGCTGAGATCTGAGGATCGCGGCGCCAAGGCAGCCTGGACAGGCAAAGTCCACGAGATTGAGTAGGAAAAAAACTCCACGGACAGCGCCCAGGCCCTGAGTTCAAGCCCTAGGACCAGAACACACAAGGAAGGAAGGAAAGACGGAAGGAAGGAAGGAAGGAAGGAAGGAAGGAAGGAAGGAAGGAAGGAAG